GCTGTATTGACTTGGAGTCTCTGAAGCGTAATCTCTAAAATATCTTTGAGTTATCTTTGTGTTTATTTTGTGTTTATATCACGTGTTTATTATTGAGAATAATTCTTTGACGTTATTGTGAATCCTTACTCGTGATTCTTTGAGTAATTGTTTTAGTTTTATTTACCCCTTTTGAGATTTATTTGAAGTTACGAAATCTAACGTAACATTTTGATACTCCTTATAAGAATCAGAAAAAATAATTCAATACGATTTATATGAGTATTCAAGAATTGTTAAGATTAGAAAAGAATATTAACAACACAACCAACTACTTAGAAGAAATTGATATTGAAATCCTTCTAGTAACCAGAGAATTACAACAATAATTGAATACTCTCACTGAACTTCTCAGCTATATCTATATCTATCCTGACATTAGAGGAGGAATTAAAGGATTAGTTACTTATAAAAGAAGCAAATTACCACTTGACGTAATCTATTTAGTCAAACAGGAAGTCAAGAAAGGATTAAAAGCTCTCAATAATCACTTATTCGACCTACACAAGGACAGGAATAATCTATTAGAAATCAGAAGAGATTTATTGAATCAGCTTAGAGATTTCGACTAGTACATGAATTATAACCTATATAGTAAATAAGAAAACAATACTCAGATGACCATTTCAAATATTTAGGACGAACATACCTCATAAAATCCTTTGATAAGTCTTGTAGAATTTGTCATCGATCATCTGAAAACCCAAGCGTTCAATTTCAAAGATTCTATCAGTAGATTCACCAACAATATCATGCATATACATATTCATCTCTAAATAAACAATATTTTAAAGAAATAGGACAGTATTTTAACATTAATAATCCTCATAGTCTTGACACTAAACAAGCAGTAAAAGCAGCAATCTCTTTAGTATTTAGCCTTGGATTCACGTGTTACTTTGAATCAGAAGTAATATATCAACATATTCTTATCACCTCACATAACACCAACCACTTCACTTACGGAGAAACCCCTCTACCAAATCTTGCAAACATGGCTATAACAGTAGAACAACTCTATGCATTGATAATGCAAATTACAACCAGTATGACTTACAGATTTAATGGTATTAATATCCCAGCGCCACCTGTAGCAGGAAGTTCTATTATAAAAGTTGATCTTTTCTATAAAAAAGATAGCGAAGACGCTCAAGAATGGATTGAAATATTCTTAAGAGTGAAAGAAGCTAATGGATGGCCAGACAATAGAAGAGTAGCAATTTCAGCAAGAATGTTAAAAGAAGAAGCAGCTGACTGGTACAATTTAGTAAGCACTACAATTAACAAATGGAACAGAGATCCAAACACAAGATTTAGAGAAAGATTCCTAGCATGCTTCTCATTGCAAGAAAAATTACATAAATAGTAATATGAACTAATGAATCTGAAACAAGAAAATAAAGTTACCATTTTGCTAAGCAATAAAGTTGCTGTGTTAATAAAATTGCCAGATCTGCAAGCAACTAAATGGATATCTATAATCTACGTGATTATCAAAGGTAATAAAATTGACATCTAAAGATTTACATAATTGATCGATAGCAATAAAATGGATAAATTGATCTTCATAGAAGATCTACATGGCAATAAAATTGACTTCCTATTCTACTAATTAAATCTATCTAAAATTTTACCTATCATATCGGTAATACTATATTTTTAATAATATATAATAATACGTAAAAATAAGGATCAATGATTATTTTTTTTTTAAAAAAAAGATTAAAAAAGAAGACAACTAGATAATTTGTTAAAAAATATATCTATTAATTAGGAATTCATTTTTTTTATGAAATCTTAATATAATATGAACAGCTTATGCTATAGAATTTAATAGTATTACATTATAATCTTTTAACATAGATAATCAAGAACATCCATAAATTTCTGAAGCCTCATTATACTTTCAGTTTAGTTTATAATAATTATACTATTTTACTATTGTGAAAGTAAATTTTACAGTTTTATGAGAGCTGTTAGCAAATAATTCTTTTAATAACAATATCTAACATTTATGAAATTCTGAAAAAATTTAAATTTGAAAATAACAATTATTTGATTCATTACTAACCTTTTTAAAATATGCCCTTTGATCTGTAATATAATTAACAGCTTCTGTATCTATTACAATAGTAATGTCACTGAACTATAGAGTATTATTATATAATGAAGCATAAATAATATTCATAAATTGTAATGTCGTACTTTTGTATAACTATACAAAACTATCATCATCATTGATAAAAGTGATTGATATATTGTCCAAAAAAGTATCAAGAGAGGTGAGTAAATTTTCCATTCCTTAAAGTTGTAAAAATTTATGTAAATCATCTTCTAAAAATTCTTCTATATGACTCATCATATACATACATATAAAAGAATGAAACACAAAAATTATTTGAGTTGATAATATATATAGATGATTATTATTATGACTTTGCTCTTTAATAAGTGGATCTTCATTATCAAATAAACTATCAAGTATCAAAATTATTACTTTCGTTAACATTTGATACTCATTAACTATTTATATGATAGTAATACCATTATCAAATATCTTTAATTTAGGGAATTTCAGAATTGCTGCTAGTCTGTTATTAAACACTTTGATCACATAATTACATTATTCATTCAGAAGTTCTAGTATATAATCTAACATATATCTAAAAAGTCCTTGATCTAAGTGATGTATTCGATCAGATAAAATTACTTCATATACATTTAAGTTTCTTTTAAATGTTAGATAGAATTATTGAATTTATAATTAATAATGAGTAATATAATAAAGAGAATACAGTTAAACTAATTCATCAAATTTTATATCACTTACAGAAAATCCCAAAAAATGTTTTTTTGATGATGAATTAAATATTCATGAGCTCTTTCTTCTTGAATTACAAAAGCCATCGATTCAGGAATTCGCATGATTATGTCTTCTTTTAAGAGATTCATATTATTTAAGTTTTCAATAAATATTGTACAATTCGAACATGACATATTACATTTAACTGACTTGTAGGTATTTATAATTGTGTGACTTCTAACATATCTGTAATAAACATAGATATTTTTGAAGTAAAAGTAACTTGTACACCTTTAACCGTTAATTTTATTTCTTCTAGTTTTAATATAGAATGAAGAATAATACTTCAACATTATTCTATAATACTACGTGAAAGCCTTTGAAAACATTCTAAATATTTAGTTGTTTGATGTTTGCTTCGAAGGATTAGTAAGTATCCTAGTAATACTTTAGCATCCTTTTTGTTTCTTTGTCAGGAAGGAATATTGTCTAAAGTGAAAAATATTGGGTGCTATTGAGTTTTACTTAAATTGTCATATAAGATCACATTAGAATATATTATCAATAACAAAATTCAATTTCTAAGCTTTAAATCAGATTCTGTTTGTTTTACTAATCACAATTATATTATTTAGCGAAAATGTGAGAAGAACCACTATCCTGTAAATATACTAAGATTAGTAATTATGATTTGAATATTGCTAATTTATCAAAAATAATAAAAAATTTACTTACTTCATTTATTTTTCTCATTTTCTTAAACTAAACGCGAAATTTTGAGTCATGTCTGATTTTAGAAAAGTTTTTTAATGCCTTTATTATTAGACGATAATAAAGATCATATTGAGTATTCTCAAATTCAATTATATGCTTCTGTTTAAAATCAAGATTTAATATTACTATTGAGTTTATAAATTTATACATATCTTTAGCATTTCTTGGTAAAAGTAACTTATCTAAATTCACATTTTTGTTAAAAAAGTGAATAAATGAATCAGTTACTTAGTTGATAGTTCGTATTTAATATATAATTCTGCAAATTTTTGATAAGTCTTATTAGGCTATTATAAAATATATTTCTCAATTACATCATTTACTATATCTTTGAAGCTAGCTTCTCAAAAATCTTCAGAGTCTACTGAATCAATTTCTGTATCTGAATCATTCATAAAGTCTTCATTATCTATATTATCTGTAACTTTGTCATAATCAAGTTTTTGTAACAAAAAAGAAGAATCAGGAGAGTTTTGTATATTTAATAATATTTCATTTGTTGAAAGATTCTCTATATTTTTTTAATATATATTTTATATATTAAGTTGATAATAGACATGATTGATAATTGTATTACAGTCAGAGAATTTACTAAATAAGGAAATGCGTTCTAGAATGTTCTATATAAAATTTTTGAAATTTGATTGGCTGTTACATGCAAATGATCGATGTTCATTTCTTCTTTTTCTGAATTTTCATTGTGACTTAAATAACATATAGATAGATAGCAAAAGAGTTCTAGTTTTCATAATCAATAAAAATCAATTAAGATTAACTCTTCATAAAAAAGTAAATAAGATCTCAAAATAAGAAATTTTTATGCATTTTGTTAATTGAAATGAAAGTATATAGCATATTTTTTTGGTAACTAATTTAGCATTTTAAAATATTTTTTTTTGTAGTGTCTGCTTACCAAAGGCCAAAAGCAAGAGACCTTCTATGTATTTTCGCAACTTTAATTGATAATTATCGTATAATTAGATTAAAAATCTGTGAAATGAAGGAATCACAAGCCTGGTAGCATGCTAGTTTCTAGGAAGCAGCTAAGCGGCTTGCATAATACCATAATTATATTTCAGAGCTTGCTGACTTTCATTCTTCTTTAAAGTCTTATTCAATTTGTGAAAGGCATTATAATTAAATCATTTTCACTAATCAATTTTATAATCATCTTACAGATTATAATCAAGAAAATAAGCGGCTCTGATTAGATACTGATGAAAATAGTAGTATTGATCATCCCAATATTATAGCTGAGTTTGAAAAGACTAAGAGTCTTTTAGAAGCTAGTTAGCAGGATATTCAGCAAAAGTCACAATTAATAATTAAACTCAATAATCAAATCGTACGTATGCAAAAGCATTTAGAAGATCAAAAAAATGAAATAGAGGAGTTAAGACAAAAAATACAAAAGGCTTATAATTATGCAATTAAGACTCAAAGTTTATATAAGAAATAATGTAAAAAGAACAATGATCTTGTTAAATGATAGAATTTGCGATTTAATAATCAGCAAAAGCGCATTGATGTAATTATTGAGATAGAGAAGGCAGAACATGAGACATTATTTGATGATATAGAATCATTGATTAGAGATAACAGTAGGTTTATGGTAGAAAGTCTTACAATATATTCTCCTTATGAATGGCTCAATAAGTATAATCAGATCATTGTTAAATTTATTGAAATGCTGATTCAAATAGTCAAAAGATTAATGATCCAAATCATGAAAAGCTCTTTAAAATTGCTATTATGGTTAATACAATATATGGAGCTCAACATAGGAGATATGTATCAAAAATTTATATTGTTACTTCAGCTGTTAAGTATTCTATTACACGATTGAAAAAGATTATTAGCAATAACAATTACATTACTAGTTCTGGAAGCTACTATTGATTCCAAAAGTGGTTAGAAGAATTATCTGTGTATGAAGAAAAATTGTCCAAAGGTTTTCTATTTTTTGCATTTGACAATGAACAAAGGGGACAAAAAAATTATCTTGATCGAAAATTTAACACAATGATTTTCATATTGTTACTAGTTTTATTGTTTTTAATATGGAATCACAAAATAAAATTCAAAATACTAACTCACTTTGGCTACATTAAAATTCTGGACAAGTCAAGTTAACTCACGAGCCAGATAAGCTGAGTCAAGTTTAAATCAAGTTGAGTTTATGATTTTTTGACTCGATGATTTGTGAGTTAAGTTATATTCAAGTTGAGTTAAATATTTAACTAGACTCAATTTAAACTTGACTTGATTCGAGTTGACTCGAGTTGACTTGAATGATTTTTTTATCATTCGATTTGAACGGACCTGAATCATTCGACTTAAACGATGACCCAAATTGTTCGACTTGAATGATGACTCAAATCGTTCGACTTAAATAATGATCTAAATCATTCGCTCTTTTTTTCCTCTCAGATCTTTTCATTTTTTTTATTATGTTTTTTTCAAAATCGAGTTAAAATCAAGTCAAGTTAAATTGAGTCGAGTTTAAAATTTATATAACTCGAATCAAATCAAATTGAAAGATTTTATAAAATAAATTTAACTTGACTCAACTCAAAAAAAGAGAGTCAAATAGAGTTGATCTTTAAACTCAACTCGACTCGACTCATTCAGAACTCTAGGTTACATTCTTCTTTAAACAGATTGCAATATGAAGAACTTTTTGATGTCAACCTTCCAATGTAAGAAGTTATTAACAAAGAATTGCATACTTACCTTTTTGAGATTCTTAAATTGCTGCATGAAGAAAAATTGGCTTTCATTAATACTATCAATTCTTTTATAGTAATAACGACCAATATTACCACTATGAAGGGGTGTCTTAATTGCAATCAAAAAAACATCAAGAATCAAAAGTAAACATATCTGAAATGCAAAGAATGATTGTTAACATTAGCCAAAATCTAAAATGAAAAGGTAGTTAAAAATAGCGTGATTGATCAGCAAAGCAAGCTGTTTATTTTTAAATCCTATAGTATTAGTGATGAATCGAGTAGTGTTTCTGTTCCCAGGATAAGTTTTACTTAACGGCCAATTATTGAATAAGGAGTTAATACTTCTGAGATCTATATTTCTGATCTGATCAATATTAATCTAATTCAATTGTAAATGTTGAAAGGTTCTTCTTCATATAGAAACAATATCTGATGTTAAGGATGGAAGTTATAAGTGGATTGCAGTAACCTGTGATGGTATCCCATACTATTATGGTATCAAGTTTAAAGAGAAATTCCCTTAGTTGATTCTTATACCAGGGCAGTTACATGAGGAGATGAACATGCTTTGAGCATATGTCAAGTTAAATTAGTAAATTTGTTTTTTATTAAAATAGCATAATTTTTTATTGATAAATTTTATTTTCTATATTAATAATTAGGAAAATAGACTTGAAGGAATTTGCATTTTGTCAAGGTTATTGAACAGAAAATCAGCTTGGGTATTTGAAAAAGTGTATAAATCATCACAAGTTTTGGGATTCTATCTGTGACATATATCGTCAGGCAATAGTAATGGAGCTCATGTGGCCATATGTAAAAAGCTATTCTAATCCTTCAGTTAAAAGATATCTTGCCTGAATTAAAGAACAACAAGACCCAATCTATCAAATAAAATATAAGCAAATATTTATTTATCTTCAGGCAATCATCAATTACTGGAAAGCCATAAGAACCAATAACCCATTCTTAAAGAGAGCTGCTAGAAAAACATTTTCTTCAATTTGGTTTGCAAGACAATATCTAATTTATCGCTTAATAGAGGTTGCTGATGAAGTTCAATTGATACAGCTTCATCTGAAAATATGTGAAACTATAGAGAAGAATTGTGTCGTTTCTAGATCAGGCATTTATGAACAACACTAAGGATTGGATGCAATTATTGAGGAAGTAAATAAGGCTTTAAAGGCTTTAATACCTCCTGTTCTACAGTATCATCATTGAAAAATTACTGCGTGTAATTGCAAAAGGTTTTTTGAGCTTAGAGATAATCTATTTAAATTAATCAGTTATAATGATCTTCAAACATTTGGACTAAGAACTTGACCGGAATCTACTATAGAATGCCAAAGATTCTGGATTAATTTAAGAAGTTTTGAATTTACCAATCTAATAAATGCGAGATCAGTTTGTTAAAATCTAGGAGAACATCACGAATTGAGTGAACACTTAAAAAACTTTACACATTTAGCAAAGCAGGCTCAGCAAAATTTTATTATTGAAATATTTATTAACAAAAATCCACCTATTTTTTTTAGACTAATATCAATTACAAAACAAGAAGTGGATGCACAAGAAAATAAAGAAAACATGAACAGAGCTGAATTCATATTGAAAATTGAAACTCTCTTTGAACATTATGAGAATGCTTAGAAAGAATATTTTGGACTGAAATCAAAAAAATGAAGTGAACTATTAAATATATTATAAGATATAAAGCATACATTCAAATCATATAATTAATTTAATGACTAACAATAATTTTTTTTCTCATTCTCTAATAGAAATTTTCTCATAGCAATTTCTCTGACGGCATTTCTCTAATAGTATTTCACACCAATAGCACTTTACACCAATGGCATTTTACACTAATAGCAGCAATTTCTCTGACGGCATTTTTCTAAACAGCAATTTCTCTAGCGGTATATTTCCAACAATTTTTCAACTACTCTGACAGCAATTTTTTTGATAGCAATTTCTTCACAACAATAATTTATCCAACAGCAAATTTATTCAAAATCTGCTTTTTGAACGTTCATTTCTTTAACGATTTGCTTATATTATGAATAACTTTGGCCAATCTATTGAAAAATCACTTGTTGGTAAAATGGATATTGGAAAAGTTACTTTTTATTGCGTATATGTTATAAATTTTATTGGTATTAAATACAGATACAATAAATATTTTAAAACTTTTTAATTCTATAATTTTGACCAATCATAATTGAAGTATTCTAGAATATTCTGATTGGCAAATTTATTATTATAATAGGAAATGATCATCATGATATATTTAGTAAATTCCCTGATTGTATTAAATATTGTTTGATTTAAAAACCTATCTTTATATTAACAAAATTAGTCAATTTAATTTAAGGTAAATTCTTTTTAAATAATTTCAATTCATTGAATAAATCGTTATCTTGAAAAAGTTCTATATCATTATTACTAACGTTATCTTTTATTTTTTCTTGTTCATTTTTACATAAGGATGGTGATATTGAATATGTTGAGTCAATCCTTATTGTTTTGTAAAGGTTTGACTACATCCTTCATAAAGACATCATAAGCTAATTTTGTGAATTTTATTATTTTTTTTTAAAAAAAAATTATGAATTTTCTTTTTTAAAAATAATTTTTTATTGACTTCAATGAATATTTATAAAAATTTTAATATAATATTATATGTCATTTATAAAGATTTGTAATATATCAATTTATTAACTGATTTTCATCATGAATCATTAAAAATATCAATGATCTTATTGTTTCATAATATTCTTTATACTGTATGTACTTGAAATCAATGTAATCAATTCCACTTCAGTATCATTATTGCATAATAATGATTATTTATCATTTTATTATTTAAGATATTTTTTAAGTTTTATATTAAATAATTTTCAAAATAACTAAAGCTTCAAATACTAGAAGAACACGCATTTCTTCTAGAATTTCTGCAACAAAATAACTACCTGTTTCTCATAAAAATTCTTTAATAATTCAGTTACCATAATCATCTATTTCTCATAAAAATGCTTCAGATTCATCATTGCAGCCACTTGTTTCTCGTAAAAATTCTTTAACAACTCTGTTACTACAGTCATTAATGATTAAAGATTTATTTAAGAAGTCTAATAAAGGTATCATTAACTATATTACATTTATTGATACTTACAAAATTAAATTTATCATTTCGTAAGTCTTTCTAAAAGTTTGTTAATAGCTGATTCTCTTCAAAACCATAAAAAGAGAAATACAAAAACCATATATTATTCTAATTTAAACATATATTAATATAAACAGAATCGTGATTACAATATTAATATAGAGAATGATAATGATAACTATTCTTTGGATTTGTATGACCAACTTTAATCTAGAAATAAGAATGATAATTTCAACAGTTCTAAAAATATTGAAATTGAATATAACAAGCAACAATATATCCTACAGGATCATTTAGTTTCTAATACAGAGACTTTAAAAAATGCAATTGAAATGCTAATAATATTATGCTAATACAAATAGATCTGGTATATCATATAAGTTCAAAATATAAATTGTATATTCTTTAATAATATAATTATTTTATTATTAATATAGGAAATCTTAATGAATATTATTCAGTTCTTATAGATTTTTTAGAGAAATTAAACAGATAGAACAAAGTTATCTGAAAAAATCAACTAAAGCATAATAAAAAATTTGATAAAATTATAAAAGTTCTCTCAAAGTTATAGCATAAAGATAGTTTATCATCTGTCTTTTTTGATATAAGTAATACATTTCAAAAATAACTTTACATTATTTAATATACTGATATACTATACGATTATTTAATTAATAGAAAGGTATCATCACTATTACTAAAGAGATTTAAAAGATAACTTTATATCTTACTGCAGAATTATTTAAAGAACACCTAAAAAGTTATGTTGAAAAACATTTCAGAGGATATGTTAAAGATATTGAAAAATACTATTGAGATTCTTATTTTTATTTAGAATTCATGGCTATTATAAGTAATCAAACTATTATATTATTTCTTTACTAATATTCATTATCTATTAATGTTTTCATATGCGCATTGTATTAGTGTTTTGAAAAAATGCATCAGCAGCAAAGTGCTATTATCAAAGATATTTGTTTATCACTTTTTAAAGTATTTCTGAAAGTTCCTGAAATAAAAGCAAACATAGGTATAAAAATTGCTAAATGGAAAAGAAATCTAAGTGTTGCTGAAAAATATACCAAATTGTAAAAGTTTAATGATACTAGTCTTTTAACAATCAATATGATTATCATAAAGGCTATGCCTAAGAAAGACAAAGAAGTCTGTCTTAAACCTTCAATAATAGTATTTACTCTTGCAATTTGTAATATTTCTTAAATCCATGAAATAAGAATATCTGATTTATTGAAGAAGTTATCAAGAAATAATGTTCAATTTTTTTAGTATATATTAAATTTCTTATTTGTGTTGATTATGTCTTTAATCAAGTTTTTGTTAATAAGAATGTTTAAACACACAACTAATTATAATAGAGGATAATATCGCAGATATCTATGATGACTTAAAAGATGATGTAATATTAAAGAATTATAATGATACTGTCAAAGAAGAGATTTTAGATGAACCTGATTCTGAATCTGAAGATGCCAGATTATTCAAATAAATATAATATTAAAAGGTAATTTTAAAACGATTCCTTTATTTTTATTTTTCTTTTACAATAATATTTCTGATTATTTTATACTAATATCATCAATATTATCAAATAAAATACTTTCAAAACTAGAAAATAACAATCATATAAAACACAAACAACTACAATAATAACTATGTAGTAAATTTTCAAAATTTTATTTACGTAAAATATGTAAATATATTTATGAGATCATTAAAATTTAATACATATATCTAATCTTGCTTGTATCATATAATTATTTAAAAACAGAGATTTTAAGTTATGAAGAGTATTACAGTTGTTAGTAATAAAAAACCCATATATATTTATTCATCCAAATTTGAAAATAAAATTCGTAAATAAGTAAAATTAAAACTTATCAAAAAAGGTTAAATTCTTATTTTTTGTGCTCATAGATCTTTAAATGGAATGGGTATTGGCAAAATCATTTATAACTGATTATTTTTACATATAATCATCATATTTGATCTTGAGATGTATCTGTTAACTTAAATGATAAACTTTTAAATTAATCTATCAAATTAAATACAAGATAATATCACAATTATACCTATATAAAGATATGACAAAAGGCAAAGTAAATAAATTTAAAGATTCCTTTATTGAACTTTTGGTTTATCTCAAACCTTAACTTGAGTTACTTTTCAACTCAAGGGAAAATATAAGATATTTATATAAAATAAAATAATATAAAATATATGATGACAAATATAATAATAAAGATAAAATAAATATATAAGATAAATATAACTACTCTACCAACTATAATATAATTAATAAGTATAATGATTATAATTAATCTACAGACTCCTGCTAAAAGTCTTCAAACACTATCTTTCAGAGGCTTTTTCATACTGATTATGTAATATGACTGTATAAAATTGCGGCTATATAATGTTCTGGGTATTATTTACTTGAATCAAACAAATATATATGAATTTAGTTTGTTTTTTTTTGATTTTAGATCAAAATAAAATTTTATCTTTTTTAAAATATCCAAAAAATTAATAATAGAATAATGCGATATCATAATTTTTTACTATCAACGTAACGATAGTTATCAAACAATTGCTGCAACTATTAGTTGTAGAAAGATAACAGTTCTTAATACTTTAAAAAGAATGAATGACTTTAGAACTGTTAATTCAAAGCCTCATTCTGATTGACTACCCTTAATTAAAGATTTGAGATGAATTTGACTTAAGCGAATTGTCACTAACGATAAAGAAAAAATCATCACTTATGCATTGCAGAAGTACAATAACTCTGGCAAAAAAAGACTGGCTAAAATATTTCAGCTTGTATTATTGGTTAGACATTTCATGCAGCTGGATTAAACAATTGTATTTCTTGATAAAAGCCTTTAATTACACTAGCAAATATTAAGGCATGTCTTGCATGGTATTTGGAATACCAAAGTTAGATAAAGGATGATTTATCAAAGATCATGTGGAATGATGAATCTACCTTTTCACAATTTCAACAAAACTATTGTAATCAAGTGTGATATGAATCTTATGAAAAATGGAACATTTCTTGTGTTTCTACTATAGTAAAATATAGCCCTAGCTGAATGTTTTAGGAATGCTTTTTAAGATAAGGCTTAGAACTGATTATTTCATTATCTGAATAGTCACTGATGCTATACATATCACCATTCTTTGCATCATATTATGCTAACTATGAGACGTGCATTTCCAAACTGTGATAGTATATTCTAATAATGCTCACCCTCATAAAATGAAACTTGCAAAAAAGTTTCATGCAAAAAATGGTCTATGCATACTTTCATGGTCTGCTCAAAGTTCAGATCTCAATCCTATTGAGAATTTATAGACCAAAGTCAAGAAAAGCATCTGTAAAAGGAAAAAATTATCTTTTAACCTTACTCAATTTGATCAACATATTATAAGGGCATGGAAACAAATTCTGATACAAACTATTTGTTGCAGTAACAATAATTGTACTTTTATACTTTTATACTTTTATCTATTTTTTTAAAATAAATTAATTTATCATAAAATATTGAATTTATTTAATATAATGATAAAATTTATTATATTAATAAATGTATTATCTCCATATATCTGATTTTATCTAATTTATTTATTTTTAATAAAACTATTGACTATTAATTTTAAAGTAAAAAAATTTATTAAAAAAAAATTTAAAATTATTAAAAATTACAAATTCTTTTTATTTTAAATTCTATTAAAATATATTTCATAAGACTTAAAATATGTAAAATTAACATGAATTTTTCTTAATAAACTCATTTTTTTTTGCTAATTTGAATTTAAACACATTCATTTTACAGTATCTTAATTTTTAATATCAAAAAATAATCTTTCTTTAGATACTAAAGAAGTAGAAATAAATAAATCTTTCCTAGCTAATTTAGCTATATTAGAAAATTATGTTTTCTAAATAACTACTATTCAAAAGGATTTATATTATCTGAAGTAATTAGAATATGAATAGGATTTAAATAATAATTTAATTTAGAGAAAGCTATTACTATATTAAAAATAGAAGAATGCAATCAATTATGATGATGAAAAATAGAATTTTAAATTAAATTAAATTATTAGAAAGTGATAATGATAGTGTTAAATTTGATTTAATTAATTCTTTAAATTAGCATTTTAATTCTACTTTAGAATTATTTTATATATTTTATCTCAAGTAAAAAGTGTTTTTTAATTGTAGATCTAAAGAAATACTAAAAAACTGATTATTATAGATAAATAAATAGAGAATCATAAATAATTTGTTTAATTATTTGAAAAGTTTCAATTGCAATATAAGTAGTATAAGTAGTATTTGTTGTTATTGTTATAATAGATCAGATTTTATGATAAATTTATATTAATAATTCTGAAATATTAAGTTGTAGCTTATCTTTATTACTATTACTATCATAATCTTTATATGAAGATTCTTTAAATTAAAAATTAAAAATATTTATAAAATAATTATAAAATTAGCCAATAGGTAATAAAATAAAAAATAAAAAAAATTTTTTAATTTCAAATTATCTTGTTCATAAGAATAATTAAAAAATAAAAGTTCATATGCATATTATTCTTTTAGAACTTGAATTAAAGAATAAATAATTGAAAAATAATATAGGATATTTTGTTAAATAATTAATAATTTATTTTAACAAATCTAATTCATAAGATAATAAAAATTGTGTTTAAGTTTTTTTTTCATTTATACAATTATTAAAAACATCTAATAAAAATAAAGTTATTGTCAACTATTAAATTATTTACATAAATGATATTTTAAATTTATCACATTTTTATATTAGTAATACTTCGTAAAATTTTTTTTTGAATTAGTTTAAATGCTAACTATTATTAGAAATTAAAAATATTACCATTATTAGAATTATCATTAAAAGATTTCTAATATTATTACTAAATTTTTAGAATATACAATTAATTAAAAGTTATAAAATGTGAATAATATTAAATAAATAATTAATACTATTCTATAAATTAATCATATTACTAATATATTTATATTTTACTTTAACTGTTGAAACTGACAGAAACTGACAGACCAGTCATATATGACATATCTGCCAAATATGCTATATCTGATAATTAGGACATATATACTATTTATTATATATCTATTATTTATATTATTATTATTATTTATATCATAATTAGCATATTTGTTAGCTCTGTTATTATTGTCAGTAGTATCATATTTATCATAGATTTTCTTTAATTGTAATTTTCCTATATAAAGGGCATGAAAATACCTTGAAAAAAGGACAGATTCTAACAAGTTCTCAATATTGTATTCAATATACATTTAATAACAATAATAAACACACTTAACATTTTGCAAACATAAAACTTATAATTTATTTCTTGTTAACTAAAGAAACTCTCTAATAAATAGCATATTAAGTTAATAGGATTTAAGTTATAGCTATTGTCTCTCTGACTTTAAATCATAGTTAACTTATTCAATGAAAAAAAGTAACGTTAATACTATTTAAAGATCATTTGTTAAAAAAATTAATTCATAAGTATTTTCAAATAATTTTTTAATTCCTCAAATACATTAGTATAACTAATATGAATACCTATTCTTTTAATTTTGTAATTCTTTATATAGTTTAATTTTTGCCTATTTAATGAATTATAGTAAAATTCATTGGATAGATTTATTTTTTAACTAAACAAAATATAAAATAAATATTTTATAAAAGAAATATTTTTAAAAATAATAATTATAAATAAATATAACTTTACTTTATTAATTTTTTCTTGATATTATATTTTTTACAAAGATAATTTATCATTTTGCTTATAATACTATTATTTAAAAACTACTAATTATAACGTATTTCTTCATTTTTCAAATTCATAATTATAACTTAACAAATATTATATTTGCTATCAGATTTTATATTAAAATATTTTTAATTCTAACTAGATTTTATGTATGTATTTAAATTTATTAAATTCTACTTTTTTTAAAGATGATTGTATCAATTATTCTTCTTATTCTTATTTAAGAAAATTAAAATATTATTATTTTATAAATCAAAAAACTTATTAATATTAAACTTATTATCACTTATATAAGCTAAAATTTACTGAAAGTTATAAGAGGATTAAAAAAAAAAAGTTTAAATTTTTAAATATTCAACTTGATAATAATGTATAGAAAAAATAAGTAATTATTTATATAATACTTTTTGTAATTTATATTTTTATATTATTTAATTAATATAATAATTTGATAAGAAAAAATATAAATTTTTTTATAAATAATATTAAACTTTTAAGAAAGGAATTTTTATGATGAATTGATTAATATTATTATTATAAAAAAAGATAAATTAAGTTATATAGTAATAAGTCAAACGTAAATTAAAAATTTAGCCATAATTTAATTATAGTTTAGTTTATTTATATATTCTAAAATAATCATATATA